CTGTATGAAAGTCAAGCTTTTCACATTGTGAAAATTATACTTCAGGCTGGGTGCAGTTGCTTACGCCTGTAATCCCAGCACTTCGGGAGGCCGAAGTGGCAGGATCACTTGAGGCCAGGAGTTTGACACCAGCCTGGCCAATATGTCGAACCCCATGTGTACTAAAAAAAAAAATCAAGATTAGCTCGGCGTGGTGGCACACACCTGTAGTTCCAGCTACTTGGGAGGCAGAGGCACAAGAATTGCTTGAACCCAGGAGGCGGAGGTTGCCATGAACTGAGCTCATGCCACTGAACTCCATCCAGAGCCAGAGCGAGACTCTGTCTCAAAGAAAAAAAGAAAGAAAGAAAGAAAGAAAGAAAGAAAGAAAGAAAGAAAGAAAGAAAGAAAGAAAGAAAGAAAGAAAGAAAGAAAGAAAGAAATTATACTTTGATACAATATGCTAATATAAAGGATATGATATGGTTTGGCTTTGTGTCCCCATCCAGGTCTCACCTTGAATTGCAATAATCCCCGTGTTTCAAAGGTGGGACCAGGTGGAGATAATTGAATCATGGGGGCAGTTTCTCCCATGCTGTTCTCATGACAGTGAGTGAGTTCTCATGAGATTTCATGGTTTTAATTACAGGCTTTCCCCTTTGCTCCGCTCTCCTTCTCTCTCCTGCTGCCCTGTGAAGAGGTGTCTTCTGACATAATTGTAAGTTTCCTGAGGCCCCCACCCCCAGCCATGCAGAACTGTGAGTCAATTTAAACCTCTTTTCTTTATAAATTACCTAGTCTTGGGTATTTCTTCATAGCAGTGTGAGAATGGACTAATACAGTGTACTAATAACAGCCCAGACTGTAGTATGCAGGTACTACTACACTTTGATGCTAGAGGTATTTCCATTAAGGTCAGGAGCAGTATGTGCTATCATTACCATGATCTAACATTGTTTCACAGGTTTTTAGGTCAGCAGTTCTCAACTGGAGGTGATTTTGCCTCCCTGGGGATATTTGACAATATCTGGAATCATTTTGGCCATCATACTGAGGAGTGTTATTGGTATGTAGCAGGTAGAGGCTGGGGATGCTGCTAAACATCCTGCGAGGCACAAACAGCTCCATAACAAAGAATTATCCAGCCCAAAACGTCAATAATGCAGCTGTTGAGAAACCCTAGTCTAGAGAAATAAAATATGGGAAATCCAGTAACATAAATATGGGAAAATAATAAACTAGTATTTGCCAATGACAGTCTAACTAGGAGGTCCAAAAGAAGCACCTGAAGAATGGTTAGATTTTGCAGGGGCTGCATGGTGGCTCATGCCTGTAACCCCCGTGTATTGTGAGGTAGCATGGGGAGGATGTCTTGAGGCCAAGAGTTCAAGACCAGCCTGGGCAACATAGACCGTATCTCTACCAAAATTTAAAACATCAGCCAGATGTGGTGGTGCGCTCTGAGAGTCCCAACTGCTGAGGTGGGAGTGTCACTTGAACCCATGAGTTGGAGGCTACGGTGAGCTGTGATCATGCCACTGTACTCAAAAAATTTTTTTTGAGATAGGGTTGTTCTCTGTTGCATATGGGGTCTTGCTGTGTTGCCCAGACTGGTCTCAAACTCCTGGCCTCAAGCAGTCTTCCTTCCTTAGCCCCTGAAAGTGTTGAGATTACAGGCATGAGCCACTCCCCATGGCCTTACAAAATAAAAATAAAAAAACAAAGAAGGTACAGGATGTTATGTGGCCCATTGAAAGATGTTGGAAAACAGTTGTGCATGTGACCCCGCTGTAACCAGTTATAAAAGTATCAGGATTAAGAAATGTGCTGTGTGTGGCTTTCCCAAGTTTAGGTTCCTGCTGAAAGAATGAGGTGGACCTTTTCTTCCTCCGCTCCTCACCTCCCTGCAAGAACCTGGACTGTGCATTTTGAGGGGGAGGCTCTTACCTCTGGCAGGCCACGGGGGCATGCAGAGCCTTTCTGCATGTGTTTTCTGGGCACTAGGATAAAGACCCCCTGTCCAGGCCTTTGTTTGGGATATTTGGCCCATGGAGGAATGAGGCTGGAATCACCTGGGAGGGGCAGAGGCTTTGACTGGAAGGAGGAGTGACCTGAGCTCCAGGTTCTGCGCCTACACTTTGTTCCTGTGCAGCACCCTGTTAGTGGTGACTGGGGCCTGGAAGTCAGGGGCCTTGGTGGCCAAGTGTTGGGTGGACAAGAGGAGCTGAGGAAGGTTAGGGGCATCTCTCCAGCACTGCCCCCCACCCTGTCCCCAAATCAATGCCCTCTGTCAGCTCAGGAATCCACAGCCCCAGCCAGCAGCAGTGCAGGTCAGGAAGGGCGAATGCACTCAGCACGGATCTGCTCCACAGTCTCCGCCTCACTTCATCTCGGGTTGTGGGGAGTGAGTCCCCGCACACTGATGATATGCTGTCAGCTGAGAACATTCAGCTTGATTTAGAAAGATAAGGTGGGACATCTCTTGGGCATGGTGTGTGGAGCAGTGCCATCCCTCTGTGGCAGCGAGCCAAGCAATAAACCAGAGTGTGCAAAATCTGTGTCCCAGAATCACCATTCCCGGAGGGAAAGCCTATATTGTCAAGATGCCTGCAACTAAATTAGCCCAAACGTTCCACCCAGCCTCGAAAACTAGTAGAACTTTGACATTAATATACTAACCCTCAGGTCTTTACAGAAATGTGTAAGAATAACCACATACTGTAACATGTGGTCATTGAGAGAGAGGAGCCCGTCAGAACAAATGGAACCAAGTCCAGAAACATGTCTGTCTAGGCGCAAGATGCCAGCAAGTGTGTCAGCCAGGGAAGCAGACCAGGAGCAGTTATTTATTAAGATTTAAAATGGGCTCCGTAGCTCAGACCTATAATTACTATACTTTGTGAGGCTGAAGTGGAGGATCACTTGGGCCCAGGAATTTGAGGCTACAGTGAGCTGTGATCATGCCACCCAATTGCAGCCTGGAGACAGAGCAAGACCCCGTCTCAAAAAAAAAAGTGCTTAGATGTGCCCTTACATGAAGCTACCTTGGGTACAGCTTCCAAGACTGGTGAGGCCTCACTCAGGACCAGGGGGCCCAGCCCTAGCTCAGCTTCCACCACCTGAGTGGCACCTGGAGGAGGTGGCCACAATGTCCTCAGTCCATGCTCTGTTGGGTCTCAGATCCCCCGATCATCAGGCCTTTTCTGCCCAAGCTCTGCCTCACTATCGCCTCCACTGACCACAGCCTCTTCCACCTTCCCAAAGGGACCCCTGCTCATGCTCCCCAGCCCGCAGGAGCACCTGTGTCTCCAGGAAGCCCACCCTGCTGGCTCTGGGCTCTATATAGGAGAGCTGGGCAGGCTGGATCCCGCCACTGAGTTCAGTCTCGGGGGTCTCCACCCATGCTAGGCTTCCACTGATGGGACATAAGTGGCCTGAGGGTCCTTTACATCCACACAAGAGCCCCATGGTGACCAGGAATGGGGTTCTGAGAGGTTAAATGACTTGCCCAGGGCCCCAGAGCTGGCTAGAATTCCTGCACTGCCACATCCAAGGCCATATTTGGGCCTCCCACTTGGGGGCCCGGACACCCCCTG